GTCTCTTTAGAGCCTTAAACAGCACTTGTAGTAGCATTAAGTTAATTAAAAATTTTTTTAAATTATTTATAAATTTTTAATATTTATAAATTATTTTTAAAGATTTATTTATTTATTCAAAAGGCAGTTACGCAGAGGCAGATGCAGAGAGAGAGAGAGAGAGAGAGAGAGAGATCTTCTGTCCAGTGGTTCATTCCCCAAATGGCTGCAATGGCTGGAGCTGAGCCGATCCGAAGCCGGGAGCCAGGAGCTTCTTCCAGGTCTCCCACGCAAATGCAGGGGCCCCAGCACTTGGACCATTTTCTGCTGCTTTTTCAGGCCATAGCAGAGAGCTGGATTGGATGTGGAGCAGCCAGGACTCAAACTGGCACCCATATGGAATGCCGGCACTGCAGGCAGGGGCTTTACCCGCTATGCCACAGCGCTGGCCCCAACTTATTATTTATTGAAATTCAGAGTGATAGAGAGGGAGAGACAGAAATATCTTCCGTCCACTGGTTTCACTTCCCAGATGGCCACAACAGCCGTAGTGCCCGTTATCCCACATGGGTGGTAGCAGCCCAAGTACATGGGCCATCATCTGCTGCCTTCCAAGGTGCATTGACAGGAAGCTGGGTCAGCAGAGGAGCAGCTGGGACTCTGAGAGGCACTGTGGTATGGGATGAAAGCTTAACCTGCACCAGGATACCAGCCCTGGGTAAATAGTTTTGAATGAATGAATGACTGTAACCTGGATTGCCACCATTGCCTCCCACTTGCTCTGCTTCTTGCCTTTCCCTGGTATGCACCTGCTCTACTCACTGTGTTCAGGCTGCTCAGGCTAGTGGGTCCCCTGACAACGCCGTCAGAAGCTTCCAGACCACCCCGCCAGTCCCCTCTTACCCAGTGCCCTTACTTTTCGGCTGTGCTGCCAAATCTGTTCCCTCCTTTCTCTGTCCCTGCCTCTGTGTCCCTCCTCAGACCCGAGGACCACGGCTGTTCCTGTGTGCCTTGAGCTCGGTGGGTCCTGGCTTCTATACTTTATAGCCACCTCTCTCTCTTCCTTAGTAGACTGCAAGCTGTTTGAGGGCAGGAGCCCCTGCTCCCGTGTTGTGCTGCTTGTGTCTGCTGCAGCCACAGCACCCCGTGCAGGGTAAGCGCTTCATAACCATGTCACGATGGGTGGATGAAGCCATTTGATGCCGTGGGTAGATGGACACAGAATGTGTGGGAAGCGAGTCTTGCTTGGGGAGAAGTAAATGTTTCTTTGGCACTACGAGACCTTACTGTTCAAGCTGTGAGATTTAAAGGCAGAATGCTTCCTGCTAATTATTAACAGTTGCCCTGTAAGAATGGAACCATTATGGGGCCCTGAACCCTGGCACCTTGCCCCCTCCCAGCCGTGAACAGTGCCGCTGAGACGGAGGCAAAGTAAGGGCAGCTTCAGCCTTGGCACCCGATAGCCCTCAGATTACCCAAAGAGGATTGCAGTATCAGGGCCAGGGGAGTAGGGAGTGGGTAAAAGGATTTGAAATGAGATTATAGGACCTCAAAGATCCTTGCTTTTGTTCAGGAAATATTTTACCGATTTTCTCCAAGGTGGCGAAACAATCCGGTTTAGGGCCTGGAGCGTAGATCAGCGCCCTGAAGCCCTTCAGGTACTTAGAAATCAGTTGGTCTGTAGTTGTATTTGTTGGGCCTCTTGTTTAAAACGAAAGCAACAAAAAAAGAAGAAAGGGATGAAAAGAAATAAGCTCATCAAGTACTCGAAACAAACAAAGTGCAGCGTAGCATCTGCTGAGAGGAGGCAGGGAAGGCCTCCCTTTAACCAGCACCCTAGAGTCTGCTTCAACGTTCGTGGAACAAACAGAATTCAAAGATCAGTTTCTCTGGGAACAGACCAGGTTTGAAATGCATGCACTGAGTTTTTCTATAATATCATCTTCTGTGACCTTTTGAAAGACGCTCTGTATGCATGGATTTCACCTTTTTTTTTTTTTTTAACCAAAACAATATTTTTAGTGCTCTTTTCCGTGAACTTTCTGAAGTAGTCTTGTCTGTGGTCAGTGTGGCTTCCAGCCAGATATTGACAGGGAATGGAGGATGTGATCGGAACACGATTTCCTTATCTGGGGCCCTGGGAAGAAGGGTCATTTTGCTTCGTCCCTAGCTGCCCGTTCATAAAATCCCTGCCCACTGGGCTGAGGCTGAGGTAGACTCAGGACAGTGTACTCTCTGCCATGTGTGTTGGGCTTCGTAGCTGTCCTAACAGTTTTCTTCATGCTTTTGGGTTTTCATTTGCGATCTTGCCTGGAGATGTATTTTGTTTGGCTCTTAGCCTGGGTGGCTCGGGTAACCTCTCCTTCCTCAGGTGCCCAGCCCCCGGCTTTATCTGAAGTGCTTATTGATGTGAACTGGCTTCTTCCTGTAGAACAGGACTTCCGTTCCCCATGGACGGTGAGGAGGCACCCGAGGAGTTTGTCTCCCTGCTGATAATACTTGGGTCTCATTTGTCATTCTATGTCATATTATTTCTTTTTTTTTTTTTTTTTAAGATTTATTCATTTGTTAGGGAGGGAGGGAGGAAATGATGGAGGGAGATAGAGAGAGAGAGAGAGAGATTGAATTTCCATCTGCTGGTTCTCTCCCCAAATGGCTGCAACAGCCAGGGCTGGGCCAGTCCAAAGCCAGGAGCCTGGAACTCCATATGGGTCTCCCATATGGGTGGCAGGGGCCCAAGCACATGGGCTATTTTCGACTGCTTTCCCAGGTGCACTGGCAGGGAGCTGGAGCAGAAGCAGAGTAGCCAGGACTCAAACTGGCGCTCTGATATGGGATGCCAGGCTCTGAGTGGTAGCTTAACCTGCTGTACTACTACGCCAGCCCCGGGTCTGGTTTTTGTGTGATGGTTGGGGTTGTCTAACTCCCTCCAGTATACAAGAGAATACCAAGTTGTTTGAAACTCAACTCAGAGGATAACAGGCTTCTTGTACTTCTACTGAGGGGACCAATGGCTGGTGATTCTGCCAAAAACAGTTGCGATTCTTCAGAGTGTGGAGTCAACAAAAAGTTTGGGCCACAGGGGTACCTTCATCACAGAAGTTACTATCAGACTCTTTGTTTGACCTTCTGCTATTCCTGGGGCCAGCACTGTGGCGTAGCAGGTAAAGCCGCTGCCAGTAGTGCTGGCATCTCATGTGGGTGCTGGTTCGAGTCCCCACTGCTCCAATTCCAGTCCAGCTCTCTGCTACAGCCTGGGAAAAAATGAAGATGGCCCAAGTCCTTGGGTCCCTGTGCCAGCGTGAGAGCCTCGGAGGAAGCTCCTGGCTCCTGGTTTCAGATCGGCCCAGCTCCGGCCATTGTGGCCATTTGGGGAGTGAACCAGCGGATGGAAGACCTTTCAGTCTCTCTCTGCCTCTCTCTAACTCTGCCTTTCAAATAAATAAATAAATCTTTAAAAGAAAAAGTCATTCCCAGTCCACGGAGGTGTCTCCTGCCAGGGGGAAGTACGCTGAGTGATGCCTCCTTCTGGTGTTGGAAGACAGTGTATTTGCCCTGTGGGGTCACTTTGCAGTTACGTTTATATACAGCGTGTACTTGCCTTCAGAGGCGGCAGGAAGTGATCATGTTGAGTAAACCCCCAATTCCAACTTCTCTTTTCTCTTAAAAATGAGGTAAGCTCAGTCCTTCCCTTGCCCGCGGCCCGTAAATGTTTTTTATTTAAAGTCAGGGGCTTGTCGGGTTCCAGTTAATTAAAGTTTTAATTGTGTTTGATTCTGCAGCAGAGCTAATGTTTACTCACCTTCATAATGAAATGCAAAGTGTCCTCCAGAGCCCGCGCTCACACTGGCCAGCGAGGGGAGCAGCCGCAACTTTGAGCCTGCTGGCCTTGCCCGGCCTCTTGCATTTGTTATTTCTTTGGAGGTTCTCTTCAGACAGGAGAAACTTGTTGACTTCAGCTTTATAATCTGAACATTACTCAAGAATGGCTAGCGTGCGCAACGTCTGAGCTACTTCTTGTCCTTCACTTGAGAACGGAATTAGCATAGCAGGCTGGAGAGAGCTCTCCTTTCAGAGTTCGGCTCTCAAAATCATCCCTATGAACTTGAACTTCGGGGGAGGTTCCCACTACTCCCAGAGCTGTGAATCGGCTCACTGGGCTTACATTGTTGGCAAAGAACAGCGCAGTTGATGGAAAATGTCTGGAGATTTGGTAACCCTCGGCTGAAAGTGCCTAGTGAGTAGTCAGTGTTAAAAACTTTGGGTACTAGTGACGACTCTTGTCCTGGCTGCTCCACTTCCAATCCAGCTCCCTGCTAATGTATCTGGGAAGATGGCCTGAGTGCTTGGGCCCTTGTACCCACATGGGAGACCCAGATGAAGCTCCTGGCTTCAGCCTGGCCCAATCCTGGTTGTTAGAGATGGAAGATCTCCCCCCCATCCCCCGCCTTCTCCCTCTCCTTCTTTCCCCTTTCCCCTCTCTCCCTCTCTCTTCTCCTATTTCAGCCCAGCTTTGATGTCATCTTGCTGTAAAACCTAGACTGATTGACAGCTGCCAGTGAAGTACAGCATAGACACATCAAGGCAACACACCAGGGGTCCCGTGCAGTCTCAGGGGGTGCACGGCAGCACAGCGGTTAGGACCCAGGCCTGGATGTCAGCACTGCTCACTGGCTGTGGGACACAGGCAAGTCAGCTCAGGCTCTGTGCATCTGAGGCTTAAAAAAAATCAACTCTATACGAGGATAACAGTAGCACTTCAAGGATTAAATGAGCAAATGCTTAAAATTGTGAAACAGTGCCTGGCAAGTACAAGGTGCTTGGTACCTGGTATGGAGGTCATTTTTTGCAGTTCTCCCCTTGTGCTTTCTCCCCTGGGCTGTGAGCTTCTCTCTGGCATATGCTTGGCTGGGGCTCTTTAAGAATGAACAGGGAGAGAGGGAAGGACGGAGGAGGGGGGAGGGTGGTTAAAACATGGTGCAGGCTCTCCATAACTCGTTCATCGCGGGGGGGGGGGGGGGGGGGCTGATGCCCTAATAGATTAAACTAACACTTAACAGGTATTTGAGTTCACCTGTGGCATGCTGTCTAAAGGGTTCAGAGAAGGGAGGGGTCTCTTGGGGGCGAGGAAGGAGGTGAACAAGTCTGTTTCTGCGAAGCTCGCAGTCTTGTCCCCTTCTGGGATCCCGCAGAGAGAGAGGCGAGGAAGCGTCGGGATTTCTCGAGCTGCTAAGAGGTCTTCCTGTGGGATCCTCAGACTGCCCCGCGGAAGCGCGCCTTTCCCGGGGGTGACATTTGGAGCTACTTAATGGCGAGGGGGCGCTTCCGAGAGGATAATCACCGTCTAATGACTTCTGAACAACTCCCTCCAGGCTGTCTCGATCTCCTCCGGCTCGGCTCTCCGGCTCCCCAAGGTAGAGGGAACTCTGGGCTCTCGTGTCGGCTCCAGCACTAACGCCCAGGACCCTGGCCTTGAAGCAGGGGCGTCTGAGAGGTCGTGGGTTGCAGGGGGCTGGTCCCCAGTTTCGCATCAATTAATCTGGAGGTGTGAGCGGCTGCTGAGTGTAGGCCAGCTGTGCCACTGGCCCGGTGCACACGGTTTTGTCCTGGAGCTCCTTAGTGACGCCTGCAGGCTGTACTGCATCAAGTGTTACAGAGATTTCTTTTACTACTTTCTTTTGTTATATGTGGTGGGTACCCACGCTCCTCCTGGAAGCCTCAATGCAGTCGTGGGGTCAAGGTGTGTTGTGCAGATTCTCCCATGTGCAACATCACATCAGAACCCAAACTAAATGGCTGCCAAGAATGATATACCATTAGGCCGGCGCCGCAGCTCACTAGGCTAATCCTCCGCCTTGCGGCGCCGGCACACCAGGTTCTAGTCCCGGTCGGGGCTCTGGATTCTGTCCCAGTTGCCCCTCTTCCAGGCCAGCTCTCTGCTGTGGCCAGGGAGTGCAGTGGAGGATAGCCCAAGTACTTGGGCCCTGCACCCCATGGGAGACCAGGAGAAGCACCTGGCTCCTGCCTTCGGATCAGCGTGATGTGCTGGCCGCGGCGGCCATTGGAGGGTGAACCAACAGCAAAAGGAAGACCTTTCTCTCTGTCTCTCTCTCTCACTATCCACTCTGCCTGTCAAAAAAAAAAAAAAAAAAAAAAAGAACGATACCATTTGTTTCTTTCTGTGTTGGCGATTTGGACCAGACTGGGCTGGAGTGGCCCATCTTGCTTCCTTGTGGTGTTGTCTGGGCTCACTTGTGTAACCGGGCCCCAGCTGGGACAGCGGGGGTCTCTCTCTGTGGGGTGTCATGTCCTTTAAGAAGTCGAGTCAAGCTTGCTTAGAGGGTGGCAGAAGAGAAAGCCCGCCCCACGTGCAGGCTGTTTCTGCTTATGCCATTGTTTGCTGATGCGCCAATGGTCACTCAAGTTGTGTCGCCAAGCCACAGACGTCGCTTGGGGATCACAGGAGGGGGTGGAGAGAGGCAGGCGGGACTGTTCTGGGCCATTCCTGCAGCAGCCTACAGCACGGAGTTTATCTGGGGCGTCGCCAGAAACCGAGGCAGTGGGGGCACAGCGGGTTGTGTCCGCCTTTCTTCTTTGGAGCAGCAGTGAGAACAGTCAGCCAGTGGGCGGGAGGGCTGTGCCTACCGACCACGTGGGCCCCGGGGCGGGGGGCCACCAGGAGGCTTTGGCTGCAGGGGAAGGCAGGCCGTGCTGATGTCATGTTGCCCACGCAGGTGGTTCTGAGTAACCTCTAAGCCCCCCACCCCACCCCCACCCCCATGGTTTTCTCAGCCTGCCCTGAGCTGAGCACCGTCTTCTGTTCCTTCTCAGAAAACCGCAGCACTTCCAGGGTCTGCTGCTCCTTGTTCCCCTACCAGTGCCAGGGACCGTGTTTTGTAGACAGCAGAGCAACAGAGGAGAGCTTGGGGAAGTGAGAGAGAGACGAGCCTGGGAGATGGGACACCCAGAATCTCTTTTATTATTTGTTTATTTGAAAGGTGGGGGGAGAGGTGCCTTTCATCCACTGAGAGGTGGGGGGTACCTTTCATCTGCTGGTTCACTCCCCAGATCACCACAACGGCTGGCCCATGCTGAAACCAGAAGCCTGGACTCCATCCTGGTGTCCACGTGGGTGGCAGAGGCTCCGATACTTGGGGCATCATCTGCTACCTTCCTCGGCACATTAGCAGCAAGGGGGATTGGACGTGGAGCAGCTGGGGCTTAACTGGCACTCTCATCTGGGATGCTGGCGTTGCAAGTGGTGGGTTAACCTACTGCACCACAACGCTGTTCCCGAACACCCACGTTCTTCAGCTGGGTTTGCTGCCAGTGGACTCTGGTCCCTTGGGTGTGTGGAAGGGTGAGCTGAACTAGATGGTATGTGATTTCACCCAGGTTGGAATAGTCTAATTTTAAGTGATGCATCCTTTCAGGATTGTGCTCATCTATTTTTTTTTTTGAGTTATCCTATTTTTTTAAAGATTTATTTATTTATTTGAAAGGCAGAGTTACAGAAGGAGAGAAAGAGACAGAGAGATCTTCCATCTGCTGGTTCGCTCCCCAGATGGCTGCAGCAGCCAGAGCTGGATCAGGCTAAAGCCAGGAGCCAGGAGCTTCTCGGTCTCCCACGTGGGTTCAGGGGCCCAAGCACTTGGGCCATCTTCTTCTGCTTTCCCAGAAGCATTAGCAGGAAGCCGGATTATAAGTGGAGCAGTCAGGAATTGAACCAGTGCCCAGATGGGATGCCAATGCTGCAGGTTACCCACTACGCCACAGCACCAGCCCCTGTGCTGATCTTAAAGATTGAGTATTTAGCAGTTAATTTTGCTGCATTATCAAAATATTGCTTCATAATACACCATAACAATTGAGAGAAAGATTTTGAGATCAAGTAAGTGTTTGGTTGTGGAGTATCGAGTGAATCGGGGAAGGGATAAGGAGGATGGATGGGTGGTCTTTTGACCCTGTTCCTTGTTTGGTTCAACCAAGTATCAGGGATGGGGCTGTTGGTTGTTTCCAGCAGGTGCATTTAGGGCAACGGTAGAAAGAAATGGTGAGGCTTTCTGAGGCGTGATTATTGGGGAGGTGACTTTTGTCGCAAGTGAAGAAGAACAATTAAATTTGAGCAAGAATGCACTTTCCTTTCTTCTAGTCCAAGGTCATGAGTGTGGCTCAGGCTGAGCACATTCAACTACTGTGGCCAACAGGAGCCCCTCATGATGATGGGAACCGAGGAGGTTCTAGGTCATCTGACACACGTCTCTGTGGCTGGCTCCGGAGGTTCTAGGTCATCTGACACATGTCTCTGTGGCTGGCTCCGGGGGTCCTAGGTCATCTGACACACGTCTCTGTGGCTGGCTCCAGAGGTTCTAGGTCATCTGACACACGTCTCTGTGGCTGGCTCTGGGGGTTCTAGGTCATCTGACACACGTCTCTGTGGCTGGCTCCAGGGGTTCTAGGTCATCTGACACACGTCTCTGTGGCTGGCTCTGTGTGCTTGCATGTGCATATGTAGCCCAGTGTGGAAACATGAGCAGGGCCCTGGACTAACCCGTACGTCTTGTAAATATCTCCCCAGCCTGAGGCTGAGCCTCATCCTGGCTTCCTTAGTGTGTTTTGCTCTTAAACACTTAAGGACTGTTTATTGAATGAGCAAATTAAGAGAATCTGGAAGGGTAAGTTTTTTTGAAAACATCTTTACTTGGTGATTGGTAAGGCATTAACCTAGATATTTTAAGTGGTCCCAGAACAATGACTGTTGATGTCGTTGTGGTTCTTTTGGTGGGACTGAGATAAGAAAGGAAAGGCAGCTGACAACACGTGACCAAAGTTAAATTCATGCATTATTCAAAGCAAGCCCACACCAACTGACAAAACCCCAATCCTTAAGTATTTAGGTTACCAGCCTCGTGTAGTAGAGCATCTGCCTTTCTGTATTGTTTTCATATTTTTTGGAGTGAAAATAGCATTATTGCATTTTCCTGATTAATAAGTTAATATAGAATGGTCAACATTAAAACAGTAAAAGCATTCAGACGTCCATCTTGTTAACATTTTAAGAAAAGCTTTAAAAGTTTTTTTATTTTTAACTATGGCTAAAATACACATATAATTTACTGTCTTACCTGTTGGTGAGTTTGCTATTCAGGAGTGCTAGGTATATACTTACATTGTTATGCAACCAATCTTTAGAAATTTTTTATTAGCGAAATTGATAGTATAAACTGACCGTATCCCTCTGTATTAGCTGCTGACAACCACCCTTCTGCCTTCTGTTTCTATGAATTTGACTACTGTAGGAAACTCCTATCAGAGGAATCATGCAGTATTTGTTGTTTGCAACTGGCTTATTTCAGGTAGCACGGTGTCTCCGCGGTCAGCCGCGTGGTAGCAAGTCTGAAAGCGCTTCCCTTTAAGGCTGTGCAATGCTCCCAGGTACAAGCAGACCGCATTTGGAATATCCGTGCATCCACCGAGGGACACTTAAGTTGCTCCCACCTCTTGGCTCCCGTGAATGCGAGAGCTTCTTTGAACACGTTACTTTACCCACACAGACTTGACTTGTATGAGCCCTTCTGTAACATGCTGCCTGGTCACGTGTGCTTGTCCTCAATGCTATCTCACGTCCATCTCCTCTGGCCACTTTACATGCAACACTCGGCTTGTACTGTGTGCACGATGGCCCCGTGTATGGGCTTATCTCTTTACGGCTGGGCACTTAGGTTGTTTTCCATTTCTTGGCGTCTTACCCATGCCTCGGAAAGCGTACTGAGACCCCTGCCTTGTGATCCGAATCTCAGCAGTTGGGGTTCAGCTGATGCCCTGGATGCAGCGCCTGAGACGGGAATGAGTGATTGGCTGAGGGAGGGAGGCAAGATGAGGAAGGGGCCGAGTGAAGAGGTCCTAACACCTGGCCTTGACCTGGCCTGACCTGAGCCTGAGACCCACGGACTTGTCCTCCTCGGGACACAGGGCCAGGCTTTCACGCAATAGTCATTTCTCTTGCAACTCCCAGGCCTCCTGAGAACCTCAGCCGAGAGCAGTTGTGTGGAAGGCGGGGAGGGATGTACTAGCCGAGCCCTCAGGGCGGCTACAGGCTGAGTGCAGCCCTTGGGATCAGGCGTGGAGCTGGGGCACCCGGATGAGTACCAACACCATCTGTGGTCCTCTCTGCCTGGTGCTACACTGAGTACATCAGTGCTGTGGTCTAGGGGGTAGTGGATCTTCGTGTCGCTTTCCCGGTGCCCGACAGACAGCAGAAGGCAGGTGGCATTGTAAGGCAGACGAAGGGCTGTGCAGCACGTGAGCCTGAGTGCTTTATTGGCAGGCTGTGGACTGCATCGATGAATTCCTAGAAGACGAATTGGTGGACCAAAGAGAGGCACATTTAATAAATGTGTGTACATACATATATATTCCTATATACTTACATGTGTAGGGGGTCCCTTCCATCCCTTGATCCTTTCAAGCTTTTAAATACCTGCGCGCCCAATAGGGAGAGATTTTCTCAGCTTGGTTTTTCCTTTCTGCTGTTTCTGAGGTTGATGGTCTGTGTTTCTGGTCCAGTCGTATTCCTTGCCCATGCCCCTCCCCCCCTTTTTTTTGGGTCAGGGCCTTTGCTCATGCTTGATGGCTCTTTGCACTGGGGCTTGAACTGTCCGATCTCCCCCCACAGACTTGGATGCAGCGTTTATGGCACGTTGGTTTCGCACCAGGACTTCCTTCTCTTTCTAGACTTTTGCTGAGTTCTCTGTCTTAGGCCAGGGCCGTGCTCGTACTTCCCCTCCATCTTATTTTGTTAACGATAAAAAGGTGTGGGGTTTCCCTCGTCAGCTGGCTGCTGGCTGGCAGCTTGCAGGTGTAGGATTTGTAGGCCGCCCCGCGCTAAGAGACAGTAGGGAAGCTGCCTTCTCCTCGCAGTGAACGGTGGCGTGTGGCTGCCGGAGTGCCGGCGGCTGCTTTGCTTAAGCAGAGGCCCCGTTTCACTCTGTAATAAAGGGTGCACCAGAAACTTCATGGGCAAATGGCATTCAAAGATAAGTGTGTTGGTGCACAAATCTTTCTTTTTTTTTTTTTTTGGACAGGCAGAGTTAGACAGTAAGAGAGAGAGACAGAGAGAAAGGTCTTCCTTCCGTTGGTTCACCTCCCAAGTGCTTCCTCCTGGTCTCCCATGCGGGTGCAGGGCCCAAGCACTTGGGCCATCCTCCACTGCACTCCCAGGCCACAGCAGAGAGCTGGCCTGGAAGAGGAGCAACTGGGATAGAATCCGGCGCCCCGACTGGGACTAGAACCTGGGGTACCGGCGCCACAAGCAGAGGATTAGCTAAGTGAGCCGCGGCGCCAACCGGTGCACAAGTATTTCTAAATCCGTGCATAAATTCCTCATAGAATGCATTTCTCATAACATTGTTGAAGACTCTTCCTATATATGGATTCCAGGGTTTTTTGCACCAAAATAAACATAATTTCATTCCATTTTCCACGCACTTTGAGTCCGCTGGTACTAGCGTTTTGCGTGACACATCTTTTCCTTTAAGGCAGCGGGAGAGGTAAGCCTGGCTTGGCGTCCGGGAACATTTTTGCAGCTTCACTGAGTACCTGTCCGCGGCTGAGAGGAGGTTCAACTGAAGAGGACAACTGGAAGGGTGTTCGTCTGATCCAGCCAGAACGCAGGAGCCACACTCATGTCAGGCAGAGTCAGGAATCCCGGGGCTTCGTGGCTCACAGGCCTCAATGCCTGGCCAGTTTGTCCATTCTCCGATGTCCCTGATTTGTGTTGGCTCCTCTTCAGCCTGCGTATTGCCTCGTGGAGCCAAGGTGGCTGCCTAGTCCAGCGTAAATCCTTGCAGGTTGAAGATCAATAGGGAAAGAGTGGTTGTCCTCCTCCAAAATTTGGGCCCGACTGCCAGTAACCTCAAGACATAGCCCCTTCCCTAAACCGTAGCTGTAGCAGGAGATGCTGTTTGTGGTTTTTTTGTTTGTTTATTTGTTTTTTAACTCATGCCTGGTAACATGCCCCTCCATTCCACTAGGGAGGGCTGGCACCACAGGGAACTTGGGGAACTCATACTGCAAAAAGAGAGAGGGGACATGGCTGGCCAGAAACGTCGTCACACGCCCCTGCGCCCGCACTGGCAAGGTGGGCCGTAATGACTTCCCACTGTCCCATTGAGGCAGTTATTCTGGCCCTGCTCCCTGGGCACCACCCACCCCTCCCATCCAGGCTCAGCTGGGGAACTGTCTTCAGAGGTGCCTGGCAGACTCGTGCATGCCCCCTCCCCGGCGATTCTGTGACTGGGGAGGGAGAGCTTGGGGCAGCCGAGGCCATGGGAGCCCGGAGCAGACCTTGGTTGCGTTCTGCCTATGGAAGGCAGGGTCTGAGCCCGCTGTTTTAGTTTTAAGCCAGAAGGCGGATCCCCACGCTGGGCATCAGCTGGCCATGAAGAGGTTAAAGTGCACACGCAGATGACAGAGCCCACTCCAGGGACCCCCATGGCTGACATGCATCTCCTGCCCAGCACTGGCTGTGACGTCAGTGACTAGCAATGCCCAGGTAATGAAGGTTGTAAATTCCACTTTCTTTGCTGAGAGCGCAGACGCCCCTGTGAAATTCCTTACCTTTTTTACTTTTCGATGAATTTTTAATTCTCACACCGGAGGCAACCTGTGCCGCAGAAGCAGCCGTGACCCGGTTTCCAGGTTGTTTTCTGCTCTGGTCCGGCACCGGCCGCCGGTGAGCCCCAGAGCCTCTCGCGGTCTCTGTGTTCCCCCCGGAAGGGGACGTGGTGGCACTGGGTGGCGCCTGGGGGTGGAGGACCAGGGTCCTCGTACTCATCGCAAGTGGCCACAGGGCACGCCCAGCCCACTCTTTCCAGAGAAGAGGCCTGGAGAGAGAGCGAGTGGCCTGTGAGGGGTGACATTGGGGGGAGACCTTCCAGTCATTTGGATTCCTGAGTATAAGGAGCGTTTAAACTACAAGAAAGAACAGAGTTTTTGAGGCTGTCAGGGGAATCTTGTGCACTTGCATGGGGACCCCCGTGTAGCATGGGGACCCCTGTGCACAGGGAATGAAAGCCCGGAGCAGCACCCCACGCCCTCCACCCTCCAGGCTCCTGGGAGAGCTCCCAGGCCTTCCACTGCTCCTCAGTGTCCCTGGTTCCTTCTGCCTGGGCACCACTCACCCCCCCCCATCGAGGTACTAATGAGGCGCGACCCTCCTTAGCTTCTGAGATCAGAAGCGGTCAGGCGGGTTCAGGGTGGTGGCCATAGACACCCACCCTCACCCCTCCCATCCAGGTGCTAACAAGGCCCAACCCTCCCTAGCCTCTGAGATCTGAAGCGATCGGGCGGGTTCAGGGTGGTATGGCCTTAGACACCCCACCCACCCCTCCAAGCCAGGCTCTGTCCTCACTCCAGTCTCGTCCGTGGAGTGTTCAGTCTGCCCAGGCCCCCGTTACTGCCTGGCCTTCTGTTGGCTTCTGCTTCCTTTACCCCCTCCTCAGAGCCAGTCATAGAATTCCTTTTTTTTTTTTTTAAGATTTACTTTTTATTATTTATTTGAAAGGCAGAGTTACAGAGAGGCAGAGAGAGAAAGAGAAAGAGAAACAGAAGACCACCAGGAATCCTCAGTCACTCGCCAGATGACTGCCATGACCGGAGCTGCACCAATCCGGAGCCAGGAGCCAGGAGCTTCTTCTGGGTCTCGCACGCGGGTGCAGGGGCCCAAGGACTTGGCCATCCTCCACTGCTTTCCCAGGCCATAGCAGAGAGCTGGATTGGAAGTAGAGCAGCCAGGACTCAAACCGACACTCATATGGCATGCTGGCACTGCAGGTGGTGGCTTTACCTGCTATGCCACAGCGCTGGCCCCCATAGA